ACCAAAGCCAATGGGTCCGAGACAACGGTGCTCAACTTCATTGCACTGCTGTCGCTGGCCGGGTACATGTACTTCTTCATCCGGATCGCCGTGTACCTCCGAAGGACGTATCAGTGGATGCGGGCGATGCCCATTAGCAAGCGCAAGAAGGCGCAGCTGCTGTTTAGCGTCACGAATTCCAGCATCTCAAACGTCATTTGGAGCCACTACCGAACGTCAATGCGCTGCATTGGGTTTCTCTCGTTCCTCGAGTGGCACATTGGTGCGAGCCAAAACCACTGCCAATGGACCGACGCCATCACGGATGTCTCGCTCGATGCTGTCTATGTCTGCGACGTCAATGTCGTTGGTCACTTTGCCAATGTTGAAGAGCTCGTGCGACTCGCCGCGTACTCGTGGGTCTTCTTCGCACTCGTGTTCATGGACCGCATGCCTGGCATTGCGATCGATCTCAAGGGCTACGGCGTCGCAGCGGTGCTTCTCGGCGTCCTTCCCGTCTCGGTCTTGGCGATTCTCGTGGCGGAAATATGCGTCCTTCGGGCGACCGTGCCAGCGCTGAGCTGGATTCACAACCAGCTCTGGCTCGCGCTCGTGTGGCTCGTCGTCATGGCGGTCTTGCGCTCCGGTGTTTTTTGCCGTACTTTCAGCTCGTCACGGCCGCGCTGCGACTCGTTGGCATTGGTCGGCAGCCCATTTCCAAGGCGTCACCGTTTTACAAGATTATTTTCCCGTATTATTGGTCGTCCATGGACCTCATTCGCGACGAGGAGCTCATTTACGTGCCGCTGAGCGTCCTTATGGAAACGCACTCGATCAACTTGTCGAATGTGTTTGATCACCAGTACTTTGTCTATGGCCTCATGGACCTCGACGCAATGGCTCAGAACACCGAGCGCAAAGTGCCCTATGTGCAAACGGACGGGACGATCCAGCACCCCGACTGGATTGCGACGACGGACGAGTATTATGTCCGCATCGCCAAGCGCGACAACTGAGTCGATATTAGTGCATTTATTCATAATGTTTTATCAAGGATCGAACCCATGACCAACCTGACATCGCACGTGTCGATCGGATGGTTGATCGCAGTACGTACAACATCTCGAGTCGTTTGTGACGACGGACTGCATGGAAACCGGGGCAAAGGCACCTCGAACATGTCCATGGACACACTCTGGTCGGTTGGTCAAACGTGGTTTCACACCGTTCCTAAACAGTGTATTCAGGCTCCAAGAGCCGTGTCACTGCTTCACTTGTCCCTCGCGCTCTGGTTCGGCCTGCAGCAAACAGGTTCATCATTGTGCGGCTCGCATCGTAGCGTCAACACCTGTTTTCTGGCGGCCAGCGCTGTACAACCTTACAGTGTAAAATACAGTGCAATTTTGGGTCGACGGGCGCCTGCCGTCACGCCAGCATGCGGCGATCACAACGGCACGATCCCTTCGCAGAGCATACATACCGCCGAGCGCGGTCGTATCCAACGGAGTACACTCGGCCCTGGTCGCGACCTGCGGGATGGTTGCACGCGACGTCTCGCTTCTACGACATGTCCGGAAGGCAAGCCTATATCCGGATACTGCATTACACCATTTTCGGCGTGACTGTGCGTGACACGAAGAGCAGCATGGGCCTCGAGATGGTCGCTGGGACGCGTGTGTACGTGCCGGACGAGACGCACGTGTGGCTACCGGCCGACGTCGTCGCCCATGACCCGGTCGCGCAGACGGTCCGCGCCAAGGTCCGCGGCCTCGACGGCGCGGTAAGCGTCCGCGAGATCGACCTGCGCGACAAGAAGACGCTGGCGCTCATGGCCGCCAAGAACGCCGGCGCGTCGTCGGCGCTGCCCATGCAGAACGAAGCGGTCGGCGTCGATGACATGATCACGCTCAGCTACCTCCACGAAGCCGCGATCTTGTACAACGTCAAGGCGCGCTTCCTCGCCGAGCGTCCGTACACGTACACGGGCGACATGTGCATTGCGCTCAACCCGTACCAGTGGCTACCATCGCTCTACACGGACGAGATGCACCGCAAGTACTTGAACGAGCCGAAAGCGTCGCTGCCGCCACACGTCTACGCCACCTCGATCGGCGCGTACAATGGCATGCGCCGCAGTGGGCGCAACCAGAGCATCCTCGTCAGCGGTGAGTCGGGCGCGGGCAAGACGGAGACGACCAAGATCCTCATGCACCACCTCGCGGCCATTGCCGGCGGCCTCCACGACTCGACGATCGAGAAGATCATCCATGTCTCACCGCTCCTCGAGTCGTTCGGGAACGCCAAGACGGTCCGCAACGACAACTCGAGTCGGTTTGGCAAATTTACGCAGCTGCAGTTTGACGCAAAGGGCACGCTGGTCGGCGCCAAGTGCAACACGTACCTCCTCGAGAAGACACGCGTCGTGTCGCACGAACCACAGGAGCGCAACTACCACATTTTTTACCAGGTATCCATCTTTTGACTGCAAATTACGCTGCAACTCCATAGCTTCTCGCGGCCAATGGCCCCGACTGCCTCTTGGACCCGACCGAGACGTATACGTACACGGGTGCGACGACGGTGGCGGCCATCGAAGGCGACTCGGACGCAGCGCATTTCGCCAAGACCACACAGGCGCTGTCCCGCCTCGGGCTCTCGGCGGCGGCGCAGACGACGCTCTTTCAAACGCTCGCCGGTATCTTGCACCTCGGGCAGCTCCAGCTCGAAGCCAAGGGCGATGAAATGTCGACCATCGGCCATGGCTCGACGGGCCACCTCGTGGCGATCGGGAAGCTCCTCGGTGTCGAGACGACGGCGATCACGCGGGCCATTTGCTCGCGTACCGTGCGGACGTCGACCGACACGATTCAAGTGTATCTGAAAAAGGTCTCCATGTTGGCCCAATTTGAGTTTTCAAAACTTGGGCAGACTTGATACATTGATACGAAACGATGTTTTTGGTGTGTAGGCCGAAGCCGAAGGCTGCCGCGATGCGCTGGCCAAAGGACTGTATGCGAGTCTCTTCGAGTGGCTCGTGACCACGATCAACGCGTCGCTCAGTCACGACGCGAACATGGCCCATCACATTGGCGTCCTCGACATTTTTGGGTTCGAGCACTTTACGACCAACTCGTTTGAGCAGTTTTGCATCAACTATGCCAACGAGAAGCTGCAGCAAAAGTTCACCCAAGACGTCTTCAAGACGGTCCAGATCGAGTACGAGGACGAAGGCATTCGGTGGGCGCACATTGCGTTCCTTGACAACGCTGACGTCCTCGCCGTCATCGAGTCCAAGCTCGGGCTCCTCTCGCTCCTCGACGACGAAGTCATGCGACCGCGGGTACGCTTCCATCGCTACATTGTCACCCTCTTGAAAACAATCTTGAAAAAAGTCTTCAAAAAGATCTCCAAAATTTTGAAAAATTACCACAACTCGCAACTCACCACCGCGCGTAGGGCAACGAAGAGTCGTTTGTCGCCAAGGCCATGACGCTCCACAAGGACGACGCCAACACGGTCATTGAGTTTCCGAAAACCAACAAGGCGCAGTTCACCATTCTCCACTACGCGGCGCCCGTGACGTACACGGTGACTGGTTTTCTGGAAAAGCACAAGGACGCGCTCTTGCCGGACCTCGCGGACCTCGTTCGGTCGTCGTCGATTCCGTTTGTGTCGGAGCTCTTTGGCAAGCCGGCGGCGCCCCGGCAGGGCCGCGCGCTCAACACGACGACGGTCGGCATGCAGTTCAAGGCCAGCCTCGCCGACCTCATGGCCAACATCCAAGCCACCAACGTCCAATACATTCGCTGCATCAAGCCCAACGCGATCAAGCAGCCCGGCGTGTTGGACCATACGATGGTGGTCGCGCAGCTGCGGTGCGCCGGCGTCATTGAAGCCATCCGGATCGCCCGCGCTGCGTACCCGATTCGGCACACGCACGACGCGTTCCTCGACCTCTACCGTGTCTTGCTGGACCGGAAATTTGCGTCTCGACGCTCCGCCGAGCAGTGCGCCTCGGTAGTTTTTTTCATGTTTCACGATGGTATCAATGTATCAACACGGTAGCTCATTGCACCCCTGAACCTCGAGACGCCGACACACTACCAGCTGGGCCGGACCAAGGTGTACTTTCAGGCCGGCGTCCTCGAAGCGCTCGACCAAATCAAGCGCACGCGCTTGACGGTGCACGCACTTCGGATTCAGCGCTTTGCGCGCATGTGCCTCGCCCGATTGCACTATCGGCGCCAACGTGCGGCGATCGTCAAGCTCCAGGTGCGCCTCGTATGCACTTGAAGCACGCGCATTTCAACACGGGCGTAGGCGGTCGTGCGCTGTGTGCTCGCGATGAAGCGGTACCATGCGCTCTACAACGGGATGCTGGCGCTCCAAGCTCGCTGGCGCGGCGTGAAGGCGCGTCGCGTCTTTGCCGTCATGCAGCGCCGCCACAAGGCCCTCATTGTGCTAAGCCACGTCCGTGGGTTCGCCGTCCGGTAGACTTTTTATGTTGATGGTTTTCAAGTGCGCGCACTCATGATGCGCGTAGGCAACGCTTCGTGCGGCTCAAGCGCGCGGCGACGACGATTCAAGCGGCGATGCGCATGCACTTGGAGCGCAAGAACTTTCGGACCAAGCTGGCCGAGCACCGCGAGCAAGTCACCATGTCGACGCAGCTCCGCTCGTTGCGCGTGCGGCTCCAAGTCGAGCAGACGAAAGACGAGGAAGAGGTCGTCGCACCCGCGCCGTCGACGACTGCTGCACTTCTCCACCGTCAGCGGAGCAAGTCGAGTGCGCAGCTGGTCATGGCCGACGCCGACGGCATGATTGGCCGCATCTACGACGACAATGCGCGTCTCCGCAAGGAGAACGACGACATGAAGACGATGTTTCATACGATGCGGGACGAGTGCGACAAGCTCAAGCAAGAGAAGGAGATGCTTCTCGCGACGCACCAGCTCAAGCTGCGCCAGCAAGACGATCTTGTACATATCCTTGGACCCTCGTATATCGCGCCAATAATGTGTGTTTTATAGTGTCGGGAGAAAGACAAGACGATTGCGCAGCTCCAGAAAGACCTCGAGAAGCTCCGTGCGTCGGGTCATAATGGCGTGCCATCGGCGCCGACATCGGCGTCGTCCAAGCCGAGGGGCTCGACGTTCCGGACGCTTGGGTCCAAGAAAGAGTCGAGCAGTAGCAGTCAGCCGCGCGACTCGCACGCGCTCCAAGAGCTCGAACAGGCGGCGATTTTATCGGAAAAATCTGCGACAACCACGCAGTTTCTGCAAGACTCGGCGCAGAAGCTCTCGACGGCGCTCGATGTGGACCCGACCGCGACGCGCCTCGCCCTCTCCAACGGACTCGTGAGTGCCCGCACGGTTCGGTACGCTGTGTTGATTGGTGATTTTGGTGACGACATGCGTGACGTTAGCGCGTCACCGGCGGTGTCGAGTTTGCGGGACCGCCTCGCGGGGCTTCGCAACAAGTACCACAACATTGATCTCGGCGATGAGTTTATGCCACGGCCATCAGTCACCGACTCGGTCTACCGCGGCTCGATGATGCACAGCTTGATTCTCCCGCCGGGCTGGGAGATGCGCATGTCCCGCACCAAAGGTCGGCCGTATTTCCTCAACGAAGAGCTTCGGCTGACGCTTTGGGACCCGCCGACCGAAGAGAACGTCGCGCGCGCCATGCGCAAGCGCGATAGGTAGAGGTTTTGAGGTAGGACTGGCACTTATGTGTTTGTCTAGTGCGGGCCGACAGAGCATGGCGTCGACGACGAGCGATGCGCAGTAGAACGAAATACGCCAACACACCAGACGACACGCAGCTATACTGCAGATAGTTAGCCCATGATACCATGCGCCTGAATGCACATCCGCGAGCCATTTTGAGTGGGCGAGATGGAGCCGGAAAGGGCTCTCCGTGATGACCGTGATGTTTTCAACATAATGTGCAGTGGCGGCTGCCTCTGCCTTTTTTGCCCAGGGTCGTGGATCAGGTGATGGATGGATAGATAGATAGATAGATAGATAGATAGATACAAAGCGGTGCCTACCAGAGGTGTCGGATCGTTTGGATGGCATGTCGAATGTGCTGGCACGTTCCCAGCGCGTCGATCGGTTAGAAACCCGTGGTTTTGGTTGTTTCAAACACCTGTTTCAAACAAGATGCACTTTTGGTATCCAGTGCAATCGGTCGATGACTCCCGTGGTACGTTGCTGCTGCTGGTGTGCGCCATGCCACCGCTTGCTGTGCCCACGACGTCTCAAGCCTTCGGCCTGCCTGTTCCCCGCGATTTCCTAAACGATCATTACGTTATCTCGTGCAGATGGATAAGAACCTGTTTTCTTTGCGGCTTCGGCGGTGCTCGCGCTGAAGTCCACTGCAATCGTGACCACGCTGGTCTACCATCAATTGTATATGGATAGCTTCTACTTGGCGTGTCTCCGAGCTCTGTATGCATCCAAGACTGTGTATGCGGTGGACATTTGCATGTCATGGCCGCGGTTGAAGTGTTAGATTCGGTTGCCTGCGTAGTTATAACACGACAGCCGGATGCACTGCCCGAGCTTGCGTCCGTTCCACAGAGGCCACACACGGTCACCGTCCCTTGGCTGCGACCGAAGCACCTCCACTCGAATCTTCTCCAGCCCATTATTGCGTCAAGGCGTTGTGCAACCCGCTTGAAAGACCATCGGGTGCTCTAGTGTCAGATCATCCTCACAACCGACGTCACGTCAACGTGTTATAACAACTAAAGTGTTAGAACCTTGCGGCTCGGAACGAGTCGGGAATTCCCCGAAACGCGTCAGATTGCCTTTTGCCACCGACCTCTAAGAACTTGAGACCCATGAGCTGCTGCCCGCCTGGCTCCCATCCCGCTGCGCCGACGACGAGCAACCTTGCGCCCATCAGCATGGCCGGCACGCCCGTCTTCTTCTACGACAACCCGACCTCGCCCATTTGCATCCTCGTCGTGCCCGACATCTTTGGCCCCGACAGCGGCCGCACTAAGGACAACTGCCTTGCGCTCAGCGCCCACTACAAGGTCGCGCTCCTCGATCTCGTCGACGAGTACTTTACGGCGGCAGACGACATTGGCGAGAAGCTCCCGGGCTGGGTCACGGCGCGGCCCTTTAGCGCGATCCTGCCCAAGATCCAAGCCGCGGTGGGCCATCTCCAGTCACAGCACGGCGTGACCTCGTTTGCGGCCATGGGCTACTGCTGGGGCTCGTGGGTCGTCGGCAAGTACGCGGCCGACGCGTCCTCAGTGCTCACCTCTGGCGTCCACTGCCACCCGTCGTGGGTCCTCGAGCAGTTTTTTAGCGGCCCCGGCAGCGGCGAAAAGATGGCCGAGCCCATTGCGTCGCCGCAGCTCTTCCTCGCCGCGGGCAACGACCCGGACTGGGTCAAGGCCGGCGGGGCCGTGCACTCGACGCTCGCCGCCAAGCCGTTTGGCGCGCAATGCAAGTTTGTCGCGTTTGAATCCATGGTGCACGGCTGGATGTGCCGCGGCGACATTACCGACCCCGCGATCCTCGAAGGCTTCAACGCGGGCTGGCACGGCGAGATTCTCCCGTTCTTGGCTGCCACGCTACAGTAAACGATGGGAAGGAATCGTCATTCTAAAATCTCTCTCCATGTTATACTTTAGTGTATCTGTGTAAGAAAGAAGCCGATTTCTCGAGCAAACAACGCGTCGCCATCTTCAATGCCTTAGATTCAAAGCACCGTGCGTGAGTGTGGGCTAGTAGAATGGACAGCTCGTACCACGAGCGCAGGTGGGTCTCGCTCGCGTGTCAGAGGACCATCCAACGACTCATCATTTCCATGCCTTTTGGTAGGGTCGAAAGATTTGAAGCTACGTCGTCACCGCACGGGCTGCGGAATGTATACAGAGTAGCCTGCGATATCTGCACAACCCCGCTCGACGTAGCGTGGTCCACAGACAAGAAGCAGTTCCGCTGCAGCGCTCGCGATGAAGGCCGCTACACGACGGTACTTGGCTCGTCGCGCGGTGGTGCCATCGTTTGCAAATCGCTTCCGGCTCTTCGCGACGACCCTTGCTTGTTCCTCGCACAATCCCGCAACTCGAACGCTCCTCGCTTCCCGTACCTGCTTGCCTCACGAGCGCGCATGGAAAAGAGTGCACTATCTTATTACTTGCAGGTGCACAACTCGTTTCAACCACAGACAACGAACTTAAACTTAATGAGCTCCACTGTGGGCGGCGCGAGTGACGTGGCACAACGACAGCACGTATTGATAAAATGGAATGTCAAAATGGGCTGAATTCGCGGCGCCGCTGTCCGTCCCCATGGACAAGACGGCGTGAAACGATCGCTGAGAGCGTTTGCCCGAGGCATGCGCAAGGTACGATAGCAACGACTATGGCGTCACGACGATCCGCAGCATGATGCAGCATGTGGTCTCACCCGTGGACTGCCATGGACCAGCCTGTCCTCGCCTGCAGGCGTCGGAGCCGCCGCGCAAATCGTTGGGCCGCGTCAAAGGCGACGCATCCGCCCTCGAGACCTCAGCAGCGATCGCATCGAGCGTGCAGCACGCCAAGTGTCTCGGCGGCTGAAAAGAAATGAAAGCGTGGTAGCGTGGGGTATGGCTGCATTAGGGGCCATTTTCTTACTGTATAGATAATCGACTAGCACTAAGTTGAGGGGGCGTTTAGATGTACGCCCAGCCCGAGCGTTCAAAGGCGGTATCGCGCGTCGGCTTGTTGGGGCTGGCGGAGGGAGACCCCTTGGTGATGGCAACCTTGGCCTCGGCAACGCTCTTGATCGAAAAAGTCGGCTCCATGATGATCTTGGCCAAAGTCGTCGACACGTTGGTCATTCAGACGAAATGTGGAAATGAGCTCTTCGCCGAGCGAGCTCCAAACGCCACGTTGAACTTCAAGCGCGCCAGACGTCTACGTATCTCCTGGCTCATTTTGCATTTGTGTCGTGCGGCGCATTTTACATTTTTATTTATATATATTTGTTTTTGTATTGTAGATTCATCTTTTCGATACAATGCGTCGACACAAACGCGACGCATCGCTTACCATGTGGTTTCGCCGGCAATCAGCCGGATCTTTCCATCGTTTTGATTGGTCGAGACAACTTCAAGAACACATTTGATAGGTAATTTGAAGATCGACACGCGCGCGTCACATCTCTTTTGATCGGCACGAGCCAATGAAATCGCGTCGACGGACGACCAATGCCAACGCCGCTTCAACCAGTGCATTCTTTGGCGCCGGCGACTGCGCTCGTGTCTTGGGTGCTTCCGACGTCAAGCTGCGTCCCATGGCTGCGTGTCTGGGTCGCATTCAATCATCGCGAGTCAAGTTAGTAGAGTCGCTCGCCTTCGTAGCGACTAGACGCAGGCAGCGACGCCCAAGAATCGATGGAAGAAAGATCGCATCGACGCGAACGAGAGCAGCAGCGACGAGAGACCAACTTCAATGTGGAAATAAATCGAGTCGAGCGATCTTTGACATTACTGCGCTCTGCGTACAGTACTCTGCGTCTTCAGACACCTATCGCATCCGGGATCTAACGTTGATTCCAAGTATGTCGAGGTCGGTCGGTCACGACGGGCGACTACATCCTTGGTTGCCATTCCATGTCGAAACCGAGCATGTGTCGAGGTCGTCGTCTCGAGTCTGTCAGCGTAGCCAATGGCTTGCCTTGCATGGAAAATAGTCCGAAATCAAACTTTTCTGCGTGAAGAGCGTCGTCGTGGCCAATGCATTCGAGCACCAGCGTCAAAGCCTTGCCATACGTAGGAGTTCCATCTCGAGTGTAAAGGAGGCCACACGTGCTACTCATGCGTGCTAGTACATGTATATATCCCCTTGGCGGCTATGTCCCTGTACTTTAACGCGTTTAACGCGAGGCGCGCGATGAGGTTAAAGCGCTCGCGTGGCAGCACGGGAGAGAGGGTGCAGGGACGTTGCGGGCCAATCGACATCGCCCGAGCAAATTACTCACGGACTGATGTCGCAGTTGTGGGCGTCGTCCGCTTTGCCTCGACGATATGCCATTGCGCATCCACCATGACGACGGCCGCTGCCCTCCACGTCTTGTCATCGCCCGCGCTGCTTGGTGAGATTACGGGCTTTAGCCCTGGCCGGCGACTCAATGACTGGTACACACCCTGCATCATAGTACTATTATCGTTCGTCTGACGCGATTCTAGGACGGACGGCAACAAGGCGGTGGCGCTCGGCTATGTCTACCTCTGCGAGCACCAGCCGCGCCTGGTCTTTTCCAAGCGCGCCGTCGACATGGCCGTCCGGAATGGCCATCTGCCCATGCTTCGCTGGCTGCAGACGCATCGCAAGGGCGAGATTTCGTTCATGACGTGGGACTTTGCGGCCAAAGGCGGGTTCACCGATATTTTGCGCTTCCTCGTCGCCCATCACTCGCCGCATGGCTCGACGAACGCACTCGACTGGGCTGCGGCGTACGGACACCTCGAGACGGCGCGGTATCTTCTCGTCGAGGCCAAGCTGGTACGTTCAAGCAGACGGCGCGGTCATGCTTGAACGAAAAGCGTAGGGACACGGGACGACGTATGGCATGAACCAAGCGGCCAAAGAAGGGCACTTGGAGATGGTGCAACTGCTCCACGCGCACAGCAACGCCGGGTGCACGTACCATGCGATGGACGAAGCGGCCAAGCACGGCCATTTGGAGGTTGTCTGCTTCTTGCACCACCATCGCACCGAAGGCTGCTCGGTCGCCGCCATGGACCACGCGGCGACTAACGGTCATTATGAGATCGTGGTCTTTCTGCACACCCACCGGTAGGGTTCTGACATCTCCATATCGCGAATTGGCAAGTTGATAAGGACACTTTCCATGGTAGGTCGGAAGGGTGCTCGGCCAAAGCGCTGATTGGTGCGTCAACCAACGGCCACTTGGCCATTGTACAGTATCTCGAAGCGATGACGGCATGGCCGTATGACATTGCGCTCCTCGATGGCGCCTCGACGAACGGACACCTCGCTATGGTCGAGTATCTGCACGCACGGGGCTTCCCGCGTCGACGCGGGCGATGAATGGCGCCGCCAAGCATGGCTATTTGAACGTTGTGCGCTGGCTCCATGCGCATCGGGACGAAGGCTGCTCGACGGACGCGATGGACCTGGCCGCGACGCACGGGCATCTCTCCGTGGTCGACTTTCTCCACGCTTACCGTGTAGGAGCGGCAATATCTATCGTTGTTTGAAGTTGGCTCATGGCACGTACTAGGGCGAAGGCTGCACCGTCCACGCCATGAACGGCGCCGCGAGCAACGGGCATTTGGCGATTGTTCAGTGGTTGCATGCGCATCGGTACGACCTTGCTTGCCGATGAGGACACTTTTGACATGATGACGATATTTCCACAGGCACGAAGGCGCCACCGAGCGCGCCATCGACGGCGCCGCCGCCAACGGCCATTTGGACGTTGTTCAATGGCTGCACACCCACCGGTACCACGATCACCGTGACGTCGTATTTGTTGTGACGACGACGCATGGCTGTAGAAATGACGGGGCGTCGACCCGGGGCATGGACTATGCGGCCCTCCATGGTCACCTCAGTGTGCTTCAGTGGCTTCAAGCCCATCGGTGCGAGGCGATCGATGGAGATGGAATGGTATTGATGGAACACATGGTAGGAACGAAGGCTGCACGACGTGGGCCATGGACTGGGCCGCGTCCAAAGGGCGGCTTGATATTGTGCGTTTTTTGCACACACATCGCAGCGAAGGGTGCACGCAAAACGCCCTCGAGTGGGCCCAGCAGCACCACCATAACGACATGGCAGCATGGTACGTTCCAGAGAACATATCGACTCCTTGTGGCTGATACATGGCATGAATTGTAGGCTGGTCGCGCACGGCTACGACCACGTGCCGCAGTGATCGCGTACGGGCTGCCGTGCCGCCACAATGCTTCGCTGCGAAAAGGATATGTTGATTGTCGACGGGAGCGTAAACATAGAAATGCAGTGTACAATGCAGTGTTTACAATACAGCGTTGCTGTTGATTGCTGAGGCTGTTCGCCTCGTGGTAATCGTGTATCGCGGGTCGTCAAATGGCTTTGAATTGGGTCACCGCATCCCCACCGTACGATCGCGGTGCAGTCTCGTTGCACCAAAAATCCTTCAACCACCGCCACGTGCGGTACCATTGTCGACACCCCATTGCTCAACGCGCGAAATCGAGCCTCAACATGCAAGGGAATGAATTCGGTGCGACGTGCGACTCGTCGATCTCGACAGGCAGTGGCAGCTGCTGGAAAGCGAGTACAGAGGAGCCCCACAATGTGGCGTTGCCACATCACCAGACTTGACCATCACAACATGTCTACTCCAGAGAAGCTACGACGCTGCCGTTGAGGTTTTCAGTCTTGTTTCACGCTATGACACACAGTCTGTTAAGGTGTCGAACAAGCAAGGCTACACACGCTTTGTAGCACGCTACTACGTGCACCGAGATAACGGCGTTGTTTCCATTGTCCGATCGACCACACATTCTACCACTCGGATAGAGTCGTTCACCATTCACGACCACAAACAACCCGGCACATCATAGCCCGTTTCCACCCTGTCGCAGCAGCCAATACATACACTAGCAGCTACTAAGTATATAGTTTGATCGTATCACATCTCACCAGTGAATCAATTGACCGGGTTTGCACACCGATGACGCACGCACGTCGGTCATGATCGAGGACGCATCTACGCCAGAATGGGTAAAAAACGATTTGCACGCATGGAGGCCATCCACTCAGTTGACGAAAAGCATGCTCTTTGGCACATGCGGCCCCCAGAGCGACGCGCCGTCGCCTCTTACGCGTTGGCTGCGTCGCATCCTTTCCAAGCGCGATACACGATGTACGTGCCACCGCTTGCAGACCGCCCCGCGCTCGACGAGCCACAAGCGCAACCGATTCTCGTCTCTCGTGCGGATTCCAGACAAGTACAAGCACAGCGCAGAAAGCCAAGACCACATTGTGGGCGGTCGGCGCGTGCCGTATATTCCATCGCAAGTCTCCCAGTGGAAGGAGACGCGCAAGTCGTTTGCGTCCTACAACCCGATCGACGAGGAGGTCGTGTGCGCGTTTTGCGAGTCGAAAAAGAACAAGCCGACGCCGTCGTCGAGCGACAACAGCAACAATGAGGACGACGACGATGACGACTACTAATGACAATATTGTTGCCTCTCTCTATAATTTGAGTTTTTTGGCAAAAGGCCGAGAAGGCATCAAGAACGACATGCGGGTTCGGATTGCGTGCATAAGTGTCTTCGTCGGCAGAGTACCACAGCAAGCTGCACAAATGCGTGCACTAGATTGCGGATACGCCATAACCTGGCCCAACGAACAAAGTGGGCAGCAACTCGTTATGTTCATCGGGAGCGCTGGAGAGGTTGAACCAAATGAAACAAATATCGAGGAAAAGTAGATTGTTTCGGAATAGAGGTCGAGTGTAGTACTGTAGGTAGGCTTCACAAGGGAGGAGTGCTAGGCCCTCGGAAACCAGTCCAAAAGTCAGTGGCAAGCCAACTGGACTCTCGGAAGTTGTAAAAATGAATGTGAAAAAAAACCACACCGAAGTGTGGAAATCAGTTTTCACACTGATTAGAACAGATACTACACTTGATCTTAGCCAAAAGGCCGAGAAGGTATGATTGATTTAAATCGTTATGTTGAATACCTGGGTTTGCCACTTGGACGGACTCGCCGTTTAAAAAGTTGCAGGATCGCTACAAGCTTCTAGATTCGATTTGGACAGTTCTACCGCGATAAAAGGTCCTGCGAAATTGAGAACACGGCAGCAAATTGGCCTGCGGCGCTAAAGCCCCAACCCGATAAGCTTTCTGTTGCACTGGAGAGCTTTCAATCAGTGCAAAGACCGATTTTGGGTCGACGCAGAAGTGTGTTCTGGGTTCATCGCCGCGTCTACGGGACCCAGAAGCCCATTTGTGATGCGGCAGTGCTCGTGATACGAGGTCGTGAGCTAGATCGAACCCAGATATATCAGTTTTGTCTTCTTGGTCAGCTCCG